CCCCTGGGGGCCGCCAGGCGCGTCACAGAGGGAAATCCGCAGGAGGCCGGGGGGCACCCAGGGGGTTCCTCTCCAAGCGCACGCGGGGCTGACAGCCAGGCCCGGCTAGGGGCCCCCGCAGCTAGCGAGCCCTCACGGCTGCTGGCCCCCTGACCCGCCTCTCACCCGCGCCACAGAAGCGGAGCATGATGTAGCACCGGCCCACGCCCTCTGCGAGCAGAGCTGTAAGTTCCCCTGCAAACCCCGCATCGCCCCGCACCGCCTCGCACCGCCCCGCAGGCAATCTGCGCACGCTTCTGTTAGGAGCCAGGGCTTTAGTTTCTCGAGCATTCGCACAAGAACTGGGGCCCCGCGCACGTTCTCGTTACAAAGTTATCATTTGCAGCCTTAGAGCAGCCTTGGAGCTCGAAGGTGGAGCGCACTTGGTCCCTCGGACCGGTTTGCAGAGGGGATAGGCCAACTTCGAAAACGGCTGTCTGCAGGGAACGCAAAAGGGCACAGACACTCTGGAGACAGCTGGCAGTGTCTTATGAAACGAAACATACTCCTAGCCCAGACTCAGCAGTGACACTCCTTGGTATTTACCCAAATGAGCTGAAAACTGATGTCGGCACAAAAATGCACGCAGATGATTACAGCAGCTTTATTTATAACTGCAAAACTTGGTGGCAACCCAGAAGTCCTTCCTTAGGTGAATGGATCAATTACGGTGCACACCCAGCGACGGAATATTACCAAGCGCTTAAATGAAAAAGAGCTATTGGGCCATGAACAAACAGGGAGGAACCTTCAAATGTTTATTATAAGTGAGAGAACCCATCTGAAAAGGTTACATGCTGTGTGATTCCAACTACATGGCATTCTGGAAAAAACAAAAACTGGAGACAGTAAAAAAGATCAGTGTTGCCAGGGGAGGCGGGCCAGGCAGGGCACAGAGGGTCAGTTAGGGAGGCAAAACTACTTTGCATGATACTATAAAGCCCATAAAATGTACACCACCAACAGTGACCCCTACTGTAAACCATGGGCTTTGGGCGATAAAGATGTGTCAGTGCAGGTTCATCAGCTGTAACAACTGTACCACTCTGGTGGGGGTATGGAGAGTGGGAGAGGCTAGCAGAGAACATACAGGAGCTCTCTGTACTTCCCACTCGTTTTTGCTGTGAACTTAAAATGGCTCTGAAAAAAGAAAGTCTACTTTTTTAAATGGTCATGTGACTTGGCCAGTGCCATCTAGAGTAGGTGTGTGGCATCCCTGGTGGGCCACTGGCTCTCAGGAGAGCAAAACACAAAGTTTATCATTTTAAAGAAAAATTAATTCCACATTTTTCAGTGTTAAAATTCTTATTTTTTTTATAAATCATTATAGCTTTTTATAATTTGTCAGTGCTGCTTATGACTAGAAAAAGTATTTAGACATGTCAACTCCCACCCTTAGATGGGAAAATTGCTATATGTCTGATGTGGAGATCAATTTAAATTCCATTTCAGTGTAAAAAGCTTTTTTTGTTTTTTTCATGATTACAGTCATGCTTTAAAAAAGAAAAAGAAAGGACATATATATCCTATTCCCTCACTCACAGATTCAAAAGGTCACCTGACCATCATTTTTGCAACCATCACATAAAGACTGGGTAAAGCAAGAATCACTGGGCACTAAATGGGGGTAAGGGGGAAGGTAACGATAGAATATTTACATGCTTAATATAGAAAGGGTGGGGAAAACCTAATTATACAGGGGAGGAAAAAAGGGCAAGAATTCAACAACAATCTATGAGGGACAGACGGACATTGGGTGCCATACCCTGAGAGGGTCAGACTCGTGGCTAAGAATGCGTAACCCGAATTGAGTCAGGAGAAAACAAACACAAAATAAGGAATGTGGTAGAAATGGGGAGAGAACTATATGCTTTGAACATGGCAATGCTTTAAAAGACACGGGCTATGGAAATGTTCCAGATTAAAAAGATGCTAAAGAATGTAACAAACACCTGACCCAAGGAGAGACCTTGTAGTGCAAGGGGCAGTGTTAAAAAGGACACTGTTAGATTCACCGGTAAAACTGGAATAAGGATAGTAGGTTATTTAAGAGCAACAGTGTAAATATATGACACTAGTAACTG